AAAAAAAAAAATAATACCCAACAAGCCACCAGCAACAACAAAAAAATAAATAATTATATATATATATGTATATATAAATCCCGAACCCAAACAAACTACCGCGCTGGTCGGGTCCCCGCGCCCAGTTTAAAGCCTGGAAGGAATGGAAAAGCCGCCTTACCTCCAGCAGCGCGGGGGAGGGAGCGGGGGGAGCGGGTAGGGCTAGCGATGCTCCCGCAACCGGAGCTGAAATGCCCAGCCGGCGCGGAGCCCAGCAAGTGCGGCGGGGAGGGGTCTGGGTGGGGAAGAGGGGTCCCGGGGGACGCGGGGAGATGCCGCCCCTCCGCTCGCCGGCTGGGAGGGACGGTCACCGCCGCCACCACCGCCACCGCCGCCTCCCGGGCTCCCGCACCCCGCCGCAGCCGGCTCCCGGGCCTCGCCGCTCACCCCCGGGCTCTTCCCTCCGCCCAGGCACGCCGATGGGATCTTCAACAAAGCCTACAGGAAACTCCTGGGCCAATTATCCGCCAGGAAATATCTGCACTCCCTGATGGCCAAGCGGGTCGGGTAAGGGGTTTCTGCTGGCTCTTCTCCCCGCGGTGGGCGCTGGTGCGGAGGGAGCGCAGGTGCTTAAAAGGCCGCAGCTGGAGGGAACAAAGCTGCCTCGCCCGGGGCTGGGAATTTGTTGCGCTGGCAGTGGGGCTGGGGTGTGTGTGTGTGTGTGTGTGTGTATCCGGCTCCCCAAACCTCAGCCGACCCCCGCCGCGGTAGCGCGGGGGAGGGAGCGGGGGGAGCGGGTAGGGCTAGCGATGCTCCCGCAACCGGAGCTGAAATGCCCAGCCGGCGCGGAGCCCAGCAAGTGCGGCGGGGAGGGGTCTGGGTGGGGAAGAGGGGTCCCGGGGGACGCGGGGAGATGCCGCCCCTCCGCTCGCCGGCTGGGAGGGACGGTCACCGCCGCCACCACCGCCACCGCCGCCTCCCGGGCTCCCGCACCCCGCCGCAGCCGGCTCCCGGGCCTCGCCGCTCACCCCCGGGCTCTTCCCTCCGCCCAGGCACGCCGATGGGATCTTCAACAAAGCCTACAGGAAACTCCTGGGCCAATTATCCGCCAGGAAATATCTGCACTCCCTGATGGCCAAGCGGGTCGGGTAAGGGGTTTCTGCTGGCTCTTCTCCCCGCGGTGGGCGCTGGTGCGGAGGGAGCGCAGGTGCTTAAAAGGCCGCAGCTGGAGGGAACAAAGCTGCCTCGCCCGGGGCTGGGAATTTGTTGCGCTGGCAGTGGGGCTGGGGTGTGTGTGTGTGTGTGTGTGTATCCGGCTCCCCAAACCTCAGCCGACCCCCGCCGCGGTTCCTTATACCGCTCCCGGAGCGGCGTGAGCCCGCCTGTCAGCGCAGGCTCCCGCGGAGGTTCGTTCGGTTTAACACCCTCAGGCATATATATATATATATATGTATGTTGGTGCCTATAGATATATGCCTCTATAAATGAATTTTTGGCAAGCGGGTGATTTAAAATGAAGAAGTTGGGCGGTTTGCTGGGCGAGGGGGGGAGGAGGGGAGCGAGCAGTCTGTCGGAAGCGATGACTGAGGGCTGGGCTGAAGCTGGGGGGGGGACACACACTCTGCTGCAGCCCCGCTCGCCCCCCGGCCCCCGGGGGGGGGCCCCCCGGGGCCCCCGC